CGAGTGGACTTTGCTGTTCCGATGAGCATGAACGGTATACGAGTGGAGCGACTGAGCGGAGCGCACACGCATCGAGCGGGATACCGGATAATACGCAGAGCATCACAACCATAGGGTCACACCACGTGGAAGTGAAACCTGAGCGGTGAACTAATTTTCGGCAGCCGAAATTTCGGTGCATCTCTAATTATTGGCGACATCAGAAATGGATATTATATAATAGATGCTTTTTTGAACATTTTAGCAATTTACACGGCACCCCTGCTCTCGACAGACGGCACCCCGGTTGGGAAACACTGGTCTAAGGTGCATCAGGAGAGCCTGAAGCACAATAAAGCAATAAGCCCCAAGAAGCTGTGATTTACAGTGAATTTATAACAGCTAAGGGGCGTTGTAAAACCCCCTTAGCTGTTATAAATTCACTGTAAACCACGGCTTCACGGGGCTTATTGCTTTTATACAACGGTTATTCCATATACGTAGTAAGACGCGGCTCAACCAATCAGAATCAAGGACCGGAACTATCAGTTTCATAAAACAGATATTAACACCAGGTGTAAATGGTATCACAGTGATGCAGTAGTTTAAATTTGTCAAAAATGCAGAACTATGAACTCGCATCCATATTTTGCAATAACACATTTACGTGCTATCGTGTATAAACATGAGGATTAGTTGATGCAGCCCCATCTGATCGTCTTACCTGCGGAGCACCATAGATATACAGCACCAGTGGCTCATTGTCAGGGATGACAAACCAGGCCTTCTGCCACCCACGTCCACTTCCTTTCTCCATATGATGAAGGAAACTACACAACACGCTGTTCTCAGCTGCCACTGAGGCTTGTTTCTGCAGGAAAAAGAGGTGAAAAAATATAGACCACCACTAGCTTTCACACTTTGGGTTGCCAGATGTCATGGGTTTAAATCTGCCATCAAACCTCTAGAATGGAGCGGCGTCTCTGTGTGCTGTTGCTCAGACTGGCCGGAGAGGGCGGCACTCCCACTAGCGTGGTGTAGCAGTCTATACACACGCGGTTGGCTCGGTTGTTATCGTACAACAGACGGGCACGGAACTCCGAACACTTCCCACACACCACCTGAAATCAAGAAGACCCACGTCAGCCCACTGCGTCAAAGAGCATGTCAGAAAACACAGGTGTGGTGTAACATACATGTCCACAGGCTTTGCAGTGATGCCGTCTTTTGGTAATAGAGTTGAAAGGCTCCTGACACTTCATGCACAGCGTGACCTCTTTCTCCCGGATTGGAGTCGGCGCTCGCTTTCCAAGCTCTGTGCAATTCTGAAAACAAAGAGCGGTCAGAGAATATTGCAGTGGCCACAAAACCTAAGCCACAGCTAAAACGTGGGTTAAAATGTCATTGCATTTGAGCTAGTTATCATAAAAGGTGTTTGCTTTTAAAAGTAATGTGATTAAATGCCACTTGGTTTGATATTTTGCTAACTAATGCAATGACATTCATGCATTTTTAAATGTGGCTTGAGCATCAAAAGATTTTTGGAGCCACTATATTTTGTAGTTATTCATACAGATCAGGGGTTTTTAAACATTTTGATGCCACAGATGCCCAAATTTATGTCAATGCTTTCATGAAATATAAATGCTATATATTTTCATGTATGAAGACCCATTTAAACTGTGGAATTATGTGTAAAATATTATCTGGAAAATATTTGAATTATTTAGTATATATAATATACTTGCTATTAAGTTGACATCTTTTTTTGATTTGATTAATATCATGATTTACAACCAGTGTTTAGAAAACAGAAAGAAATGACAATTGTTAATTAATTAATTTAAAAAAACTGTATTGTAACATATTATATATAAAAATATATATATTTAAAATAAATTGTTATTTTATATATTCGAATATATGCTTTAGTATTATTTCAATATATGTTAGTAACATAAGTTTTTTTTTTTTTTTAATGTACAACATATATGTATACATATCCCTGCAGAGCACCATAGATATACAAATTATCATTTTTAATTAATTAATTAAAAAATGTATTATATTTTAAAACTATATTATTTTATTAACATATTTGAATTTAATAGAGGTCTCTGGACCCAAGTTTGAAAATCCCTGATAGAGACTGCATTTTATTTTTCCCATAAAAAATCTGAATGAGGCCTGGATATGATTTATTTTAGTATAATTTATATATTATTCGAGTACTTATAAATATTTTGAATTGGCTTTTATTTTTCAGTTTTAATTTTAATATTAGTTTTAGTAATTGTTTTCATTATTTTAATATTTCTATTTAGCTTTTATTTTTTGGGATTTCAGTGTTAGTAATTTTAGTACTTCAACTTAAAATTTCATTTGGTTGCCAAGGCAACATTAAAAAAAAATTTTAAGTTACATTTTTCATTTGTTATTTATCTTTCAGCTTTATTTTAATGAACAAAAATGATTTTAAATAGTTTTACTGTTAGCTTTAGGTAACAACACTGCGAGTGTTAAGATAAAACTAACCGGAGAGTTTGGAGGAGTGAAGTCCTCCTCCCGAAACGAGCAGTTGAGCATGCGGAAGGTCTCCAGCGTCTGTTCATGTCTCTGTATAGTGGCCTGGATCGCCTGTGAGAAAGTGAACAAAAATGAGAATAATGTAAGCAGGAGTGTTATAGTCGAGAGATATGAGAACCTGTGATATGATGAAGAAAAGCTCACCTGAATCCAATCTCTCTTCTCCTCTTCCGTCCTGGTGAAAATGAAAACGGCAAACGTTTTAAAAATGCCAAAAGCCGCACATATTTCTCTTGTTTTTCAGTGGCTCATATGCTTATCTTGGGTATTTTCTCCTAATGCCCAAAAGCTCGGACAACATTTCTGTGGTTGTCAATCAACCTCAGATTTTATTTTTAAAGCAGACGAAGCACATTCCCTCAGCCGTACCTTGCTTGCAGTTCTAGTGAACGTTGTTTTCCCGAAACCAGAAATGTTCGCGGTACGTTCATGCTGCTGGTCTCCTTCAGCTGTGAAGCAATGCAGAGTGAATCAGCCATTTGATAACAGCAGATTTATTTTGAGTTTTATGCTGTAAACAAGATAAAAACATGCTGAACCTCCATGCCGTCAACGTCAATCCGCGCTCGCACTCCAAACTTCTGTCCAATCAGCCTCAGTTTGGGAACGCAGTACAACAACCTGTCATTGAACTTAAGAGAGACGAGCAAAGTTAAACGTGCATGATTTAGCAACAATTTTACTAAGAAAAAAACATTTGAAGGTATGATTTATGTCATTTATGTTTGTCTTTGACTCACCAGAATGAGGTATCTATCCTGTGATGTCCCATTTTTAGCTGACAGTTTCAGGATGTGTCCCTCTTTAATGAGCTCATTAGTCGGGTTAACAATGTCCTCTTCTCCACCGAGCAACTCGTACACTTTCAACAGCTTTCTCATGCGCTCCTGAGGGACAAAACATTCACACGTTTGTAGAAACATTTGTCATTTCATTCAAGTAATGGCCAAAGAAATGGCCAAATTGTCCCCACCAATATTTGTTATTTTTGATATTCATATACACACATATACTAGCTTTAGAAATAATATATTCTAGTTATATATATTCTAAAAAACTATATATATATATTTAAATTGTTATTTTTATATAATTTTAATATATACTTTAGTAATATTTTAATGTTAGTAATATTAAAAAAAATAATAATTTTAAACACATGATATATTATACATATCGCTACAGTAGGCTATATCTTATTAAAGTTTTATAATAAATAATAATTATTTAATATTGTATATATCCAATTATGCAAAACTACTGAAATTTTGTCATTTTGAATTGAAAATATGCTATCGTTTACAGTACATGATTCGTGTAATTCATAACTCAATGTGACAAAACAAGAAATGTTTAGTGCTTTCGAAATATTAAGCACACAAAGAAGAGTGAATGTGTGCATATTTTATTTTAAAATATTACTTGCAAATAATTCAAATTGATTTCTTCACAACTAGAATTAGACTTTGTTATGGCATGGTTATGACCTTGTTTTGAGTGATGATAAAAACGCCAGATTTGACGTTGTCTGTTTTAGGTCAGGTCTACTTGGAGGGAGGTGTCTCGTGTCTCAAAATGTAGATAATAAAAACATAAGCAATTAACAGATTCAAATGAGAGACTTTCACAACAGACCTCACATTAAAGAGGCAACCATGCTTAATTACAAAGGGATGTTATAAGTGGCAGTGTTGCTTTTCACCCCAGATGGAGTGTGTGTGGTTCATCTGAAACTGCACTCACCATTTTCCTGATGGCAGCGTTTGAATGTTCTGCTGCTGTGGCGATCAGCTCCAGAGATTCTGTAAAGGATAAAGGACTTGATATTCACAAAGAGTCATTTTTCCATTTTGCCTTTTATCTTGGCCTGTTAACCTTGCATGAAACTTTTCACTGCAATATTTCCAGGCACATGCACCAATAGCTGAAATGAAACAGAAAGTGGGCTGCTGCGGTCAGTGGAGGAGATAAGGCCCATTTGAGCGTTCCGCTGCTCTGCACTCACTCTGAGCGTCTTTGAAGTCATCTGCGTCCTCTGGCAGGCGGTGCAGATAGTCTTTGAGCAGGAGCTCGTAGCGAGGGATCCTCTGCACAGGCTCCAACATGTGGTGCTGTAAGGTAAGATTCCCACACATCTCCTCTTTCTGCAAAACACACCCAAAATCATCCGATGAGCAAAAACAAACCATGCACCGGTCCATTCCCACACACAAATTCGGAATATTTGCAAAAGCAGATACTTTAAAGATATGAAATCGAGACTGACTGCATTTACTACATTTACTGTGCAAAATTCATCTGTGCACATGATTATATGTATTATATATGTAAATATTATTATTGAAGTATAATATAATCTATGTCTGTGTGTGTGTGTGTGTGTGTGTGTGTGTGAGATTTTGCTTTTTATTTTTGCTTTCATTAAAATATATAAGACATGATATATTATACACATGACATGAGTATTATGAAAGTGTGTGTGTGTGTGTGCAGACAGACAGATAGATAATTATTATTAAAATATATATTATCAAAATATATTATTAAAGTATATATATATATAATCATTTATTATTATTTTATT